GGGGGGGGGGGGGGGTTGTAATTCAAGATTGTCCTCGTCTTTGCGATTTGTTTCGGGGTTTGTTTGGAGCTCTCGGATACTGGAGAAGCGACCGTGTTTTTCTCGGGGCTTTCCACGAGAAGACGACTGCCCAGGTGACCCAGGCTGCAGACTCGGGCGACCTCGCGGCGGCCCTGGCGGCAAGCCAGGGCCCGATGGTTGCCGCAGGCACGGATCCGGAAGTGTGGTGTCCAAAGTTGTCGCAGACGCCGGCAGTGGCTGTGTCGCAAGTAATGTACCACTCAAAGGTATGAGCAGGCGGCTGGTTAATCGTTACAGTCTGTGAGTTCTTGTCCCTGACGCATCAGCTTTACCGTTTGATTTGTGGTGCTTTAGACCGCAGGCCGTCGACCGCCTTTAATTTGCATGTGACGACACCCTCGAAGGTGGACTCAGCTGGGATCGGCGAATGTGCTACACTATGCTACACTGCTTGTCCGCTAGTTGCTCTCCTTGTCTATCTGTCACCACAAACAGTTGCGTAAGACTATCGGGTTCTTACATTGAGAGACAGAGAGTTCGCCCGAGGATCGCCGGCCGTGTCCGTTCTTCACCATTTTGGCCCGTGTGAACTTGTGAATCGCAGTGGTGCCACGGGGATACACCTCCTCCTCCCATGTTTTTCAGCCCTGCCGTATTTGGGTGAAGCTCGTGCTTACAGAGTCCCGATTATACTTCGGGGCAAGACTCGTGTTCCGATACGGTGCGGCGCATGTGCTGGGGCGCCAATCCACGCATGTTGGGCTCGCGTGTTCGCCGTCAAACACATGGCGTGAAGACAGGAGCGTGAGAAGCATGCAGGATACCGTCGTTCGTAATGGATACGTGCATGAGTGCGTAACTGTATGTGTTTGTGTTTTTATCTGTGTGTATGTAGGCGTGTCTACTTTCACTTTCATTTCACTTTCCACGTTGCAGAAGTACCTGCTTCAGCGAAGGATGATGAGGACAGGCCTTCTGCCCGGCAAAAGCATCTGCTGTGCTTAGCACATCCTCCTCCCAAAGTTGTGGGAAACTTTCGGCACGGCACGCATGCAAGGTCTCCGAATGGTCATGCACATCATCACATAGGTGTCCTCATAGTTGCGAACAACTTCGCCCTCATCATTTCGTGCCGCAGCAACGCCACCATCAGCGAGCCACGAGCGACCTTCTTCATCATTGCAAAGGAGGGCTTGGTAATGACCACTTTGACCCTTATGGATCAGAATTCAGCACAGGCGGTATCGACTTGTGTTACTAACAAAAGTTGTCAACAAACACCGGCAACTCTAAATGCATATCAGGCACCACAGCGAACCTACGCTTCAAAGCCCTACCATTGTCACTGTCGTCGCCGAATCTGCCAACCTGCAGAATCAACAGTCGCAGCGTGCATGGCCTCTTGCGTGTGACATGCATTCAGCAGTTCCTGTGCTGACCAGGCTATACATGCAAGTGTGATTCACGCGGCTACACCAGCAATGGCGCAGAGCATCCCCCGTCCACACCGACATACGATCCTCTTTGCTGCGATCTTTTGCGGTGTCTACATACATATCTACATACTTGCGGACATACTTTTCCCACGGTCACTCGTTCATTGTGGGGGGGGGTTGTTGCACTTATATCTCAGTGCACATCTATCGGTCTGACCATCTAGACGTGACCTACATTTATAGACCTATGTTTAGGTCTGATAAGTTTTAGACCTACGTTTATGGACTATACTATATGTTGATAGACATCTGTCTTTTTCTTTTTCGTTTAGTTATTCGCTACTCCGTTCTCCAGGCCAGGACCTGGAGCAGCTGCGTGAAGTCGCGCGGGAGGCCACTTTTCCCTATAGGGCTCGATGTCATGTACTGTCAGTTCTCTAAATGCGGGTCCCCTGTTTAGGTCCCCAATATAGTACGGCACATTTATAAAAAGGAGCCCGAAAGGGACCCGAATTTAGAGAACTACCCATGTACTTATGTAGGGCTCGCAGAGATGCAAGGAAGTCTCTAGTATTGACAGCAGCAGCTAACTCAACATCCCGTGTATCTGGTTCTTCACGGCCTTTCTTCAAAAGCTCTCCAGGCGTTGCTCATGGCCGCAGAGTCTGGCGAGCTGGCTGAGGCTTGGACAGGAGCTCCTGAAGACACAGACTTAGGTGATGTCGAGCCTACAGCGAACATGAAAGTCGAAGTTCAACTTGCTTCGAGATCTTGACTTGCATAGGATTATTGACGCTAAGAAGTTCTGGGTGGCCGTACCATCCTAGTGAACTGTTTCCGGAGCTGCGCTGCCCGGATCCCATCAAACCTGAGTTGACTCCTTCACTCATCGCAGGTGCTTGCGGAAGCCACTGGCACGAAGCCAGCCACGGATGACGTGCTGCGGACAGCGGCGAGGGATGCACTGCTGCGAGGCCGGTGGTCCAGAAGAAAGGCTGTCCTGGTTCGGGTGTATGTCTGTGATTGTGTTGTGGTGTGTCTCTGTGCGTCTCTGTGTGTCTCTGTGGGTAGGCAGGCATCAGGAAGTCTGGAGTGGCACTGTGTGGCACCCGTCTCTCCCATCTTCGGCGCACCGCTGCGCTGCTCCCTGCTTTTGCCCAAACTTGTGGCTTCGAGAACTCGAAGCCTCGAAAGCCTGCGATCTCAGACGAGGTGCCCAGTCGGGACAGCTGCTCGCAGAGCTGCGCCGAGGCTTCCGCTTCCCCCTGAATTCCCGAACTATGGGTTCAGGGACTGCTTTTGCGTTTCCCGACAACCTGACTGCAGCTCCAGGGGTTTCGTCCAAGGTTGCTCTTTTCTGAAACTGCGAAGATAGGGTGGGCCTCTGTCCTGAGAGCGCAGGCAATCCTAGCGTTTAGCACCTAGAATCTAGAGCAGCCGCCACCATCATGCAGCATCGGTGGTTCGCCATGGCAAGTACGGGCGCAGGAACCACAAAGGTACCGTGGCATTGCAAATGGCCCTTGTGGCGGCCCTTGCCCGTGACTTGCAGAACAAATCGGCCAGGAGTGAAAAGAAGAGTCTGCCAAGAGCTCTTGTCAGGCAAGACGCGGAGTCTCCCAGGCTCACCGTTGAGCCGGCCTCCTCAAGGCTCCACTCCGGCAAGCACCGTCATCGACGAGATGTCCGAGGCCACAGGGCCCATGTGCTTGGCGATGGGGGGAGACGAGGAGGCTTGTAAGCCGGGCACTTTGGACACTCCTAGCGTGAAGCGAGAGCTTCCTTGAAGTCTTGGAAGGCAGCCAGCGACGTGCAGCGCAAGGCCTTTCTTTAAGCCTCTGTCCTTGTATTGTCGACGTGCATGTAACGTGCTTCTTGCTTGGGGCTCTGTTGTTCAACAGATCTCGCAAAAAAAGTATCGCGCACTCTCCGGACATGTGCCTGCACAGTGACATGCCATGCCATGCGCTCTTGAGGCAACCCTGCACACCTCGGTCGCGGCATGTCTCGTGCAGGACTCCGCCGTTCAATGCTTCGGAGCCCAACAACTCACAATATTTGGCGGCAGTTTTGAGTGAAGTGTTACTGTGATTGTAGCGGCATTTGCGGAGAAGATGCTGCTGCAGAAAGCAGAACTGCAGAAAGCAACAGCACCGCAGAGAACTTCAGAGCCGTTCCGGGCGGGCAAAGGGTCTCAGCGACTCAGCGAGGGCCCGACATGACCCGGGGGTGCCCTTCTTTGCACCTTTGAGGAGATGACGGACCTGGCTGCCGAGCTCGGGCAAGCCTGGGCCCTACTACTTTGAGAGCCCGCAAAAAGTGCCGAAGCTCGACAAATCCACCGAAACCCACTGGCCGGGCCTCAGGGAAGTGTGCTGGAGCAGAACACGGCGATCAAGGCGAAGGCCTCCCGCGGTCGGTCGCGCTTCCCTCCTTAGTCCCGTTCATGCTGCCTAACAGAACACTAACGGCACAGGCCCCAGCAGGCCCCAGCTAACCTGTGGACTTGCATGTATCACAAAATTGGACAGCTAGGGGTTCCGAGGCAGGACGCAGGTTCCCCAGCCCTAGCACGCGCTACTGTCCTCCTCTGACTTTCTTCGCAGATCGCCGAGCTGAAGCGACAGTACGACAAGTTGATACAGGAGGTCGGCGTGGGATTCTTTAGGGTAGGCCTTCTTTCGGCATTCAGGCAAGTGTGGTCAAGGGTTGCACGTGAATCGATGGCAGATCTCGGTCATTCGGGAGGGAAAGCTGGGACGCAGGACCAAGCCCTAAAGGCAGAATGTTGGCTCAGGGGAATGCTCGCGGATCTCCAAGATTCTAGATGTTCACGTTCACATTGCATTCAGTTGAGTTCCGAACGGATCAGGAGTGCCACGGCTACACAAGAACCTGCGGCATTCATTGCTCGCCTAGACCACAGATCGCCGAGTCCCTTAGAGTACCCCCAAATCCTGCAGAGCCCCCCCAAATCCTCCCTTCCACTCCTTGCCAGCGTGACGAGCTGAAGAGCCGAATGAGACGTTAAGCTCTGAGCAACCCTGCGGTGACGCGAAGCGTCTCCAGGGATGCAGGAATTGTAGGTAGGGAAGACAGATAGTGCCGGGCATTGCGCGCCGCGATGCCGTGCTAAGGCGCAAGAAGTCCGCATCACGCAACTTGTGTGAAGTAGGAAACGACTGCGCCCGCACTGCGCCAGCAAGACATGCCGGCACTCTCTTCCGCCGTTGTTTTCTCGCGGAGGGGCCCCCCTGTGCCTTCGGCGGTCCATGTCTCACCCCTAGATGATTCCAGTGCCGGACGAATGCTTGGAGCACCTCCGAATGGAGTGCTTCGCAGTTGGACATCTGAGCTGGGAATATGCACAGAAACAAGGGCAATGCCACATCTGCGCGTCAACCGCTGCGCGTCAACCTCGCTTGGTTTGTTCCTACGTGTAGCAGAGAAGGCCATAACGAAGTGTCTGGCGCGACGAGAGTGAATCTAAGATCTGCAGATCGTGGTCGATGCTTTGCAACCCTAGGCACGTAGAGCAACATGTCACGATCCAAGCCTGCGAGAGACGCGATCTGCAATATTTCGCTTGAAGCAACTTTGGCGTACTCGAACCTTACCATTCACGAGCTCTCCGAACATCATGGGGCTGCTGGTGCTAGCTCTGCCCCGCTCGGGCGTGTCTGGGCCTCAATGGAATCGGGAAGGACTCTCTTGGGACATGGAACCGCCTGGAGTGTTTTGAAGCGTCGTGAAGGCCCAGACCAGGGACGGGTTCCCTGGTGCCGCACTTCTGAAGCAAGCGAGGCCGTTTTTGTGGTCATGCAGCGTGTTGAGACAGAAAGCTAGTGACCAGTATGGACACCTTTGGAGACTTGGGTTAACATGCGCTTGGCTCAGTGAATTGGAAGGCCTTTTTACTTCTTGGACAAGGAGACGAGAGACGAACTCGGAAAGAGCCTGAAGCTGAGCTTTGCCCCTTCGATGGTGCAGCAGTTTGCTCTTGCATGACTCTGACTGTGACTGGCGGCATCCTCCACGTGGCTCTGAGCATTGTAGAGCTCCTCATTCGAGGGAGCGACAGGCGGTGCGACTAAACGTGACAAACCACAAGCATCTACAAACTGTATCTGAGACAGTTAGCTTCAGGAGCAGACCCAGAATGGTGAGCAGCCCGGCGGCCCCGCCGCCGGCATCGCAGCTTGTCAGTTGCAGATGTGAGCCTTTGCTTGTTCCCGGCTTTGCAGCACTTGGCCAGAAGCTCCACTCCTTGCAAGATCAAGCTCCGGTGATGCATGTTGGTGCGCTGGTGGCCATGCGACTCGGCATCCGGTCTTTGCAATGCAATGTGACGAGCCTCGAGGCGCAGGCGACCACAAGGAACTTCAAGGAACCCGAAGCTGAAGCTTCTTGATGCCTCACCTCTTCCGTCTTCGCATGGGCGCGTTTCTGCCTTCACAAGACCTCGCCAGTCTGTGCCGTCGCTTGCGACTTGGTGTCTCTGTGGCTGACGCAGCCAGCTTCTGCCCCGTGCCATCGAAAACGCTCGCCGCACGGAGTGTTTTGCTGCTGCAGGCGCGTTCTGAGCCACATGCTGTCTTCTTTGGCAGCACCTTAAATGTGAGCACAGACGTTGGCTCCAAACCTAGGCAGGTTTCCAGCATGACGACTGACCTATGCAAGCGCCTAGAACTCGTGTTGACTTCTAAGTTCCCAACATCACCTTAAGATTCAGAACATAGTCCTCGTGATGTGCGCAGCATTGCACAAATCTGAAGTTTTTGCATGCCCCTGCCAGAGAACAGCAAAGTTGCATCGAGTCAGAAACCATGCGTCGGAGTAACGCTGCCAGACTGTCTTCCCTCCTTATTCGCTTTCATTCTCTGAAAGGTGCACTGTATCAGCTTAGCACCAGGTTCAGGGAGGACTCGCCTACAGTCCTTGATGTGCCAAAGTTTCGCTGACACTCTTTTGCCTCAGTAGAACCGAGCACGCTGCCTCAGCGCAGTGCGCAGCCGAAGCGCATCTGGAGGCATCCCCGTGCTCAGCGGCTTCACGCCCTGACATGACTGTGGCCGGGAAGCCAAGGCTTCGGCCGGAACTGCTCTGAGCTGATTCGTAACCTCCACCCTCCAATGCATTCGGTGATAGCAGCCGGGTTCCCAAATCATGTTGGGTCTGCCATGGAGTCCAAAATCTTGAGGTGTAGGACCACACTTCACGCGCAGTCTCTTCGGAGAAGCATGGCATGTCGCACCTGTGCGAGCCCTCAAGCTTCGGGGCCTGAGGGTGCCGCAAACTGCCGCGCGCAGCGTGTTCGCAGGCTGGACATGCTGAGGCTCTTTCGCTCTTTCGCAGGAGCCGAAGTTCAAGCTCCAGGGAGCAAGCTTATTGGACAGCTCTGTGCGTGGTTTCGTTGAGAAGCCAAACCAAGCCCGCCCAACTTTTGACTCGATCAGGATCCCTTCTGCACTCTCGAAGCAGTTTCAATCACCGCGGCTCGCGGGCGGACAGTGCGACTTGGGGCACTGGGTCGGCCACTGCTGGGCTCCTATTTATCGATTGACGAGAAGCTTCGGCCTTGAGTGCCCAGCTTTGCGAGCGCTGCTGTTCCGGTGTGTCTACCACCGCCGTCCAGGTCTCGGTCTGAGTGGAAAGAAGTCCAGACCAAACATACCGAATTCGCGGTAGTCAAGCTTTGGGCAGGTTGCATCTGGCTTGGAAACTCGTCGGTCATTTCGGCCCATGTTTTTGGCGCGCTTCCTTGCTTGTGCTTCACCCTTCCTGCTGCAGAGACATTGCCTGTGAAGCAGCTGGATTGCTGGAAGATATGGAGCAAGTGTGGACAGATGCCATGACTCTGATCGCTTGAGCAAGCTTCTCAAGTCGTTTTCTCTTCCTTCGAAGACCTGAGGCCTTGAGAAGCGCCACATGCTGAAACGCAGAGGTGTCGAAGACCTCAGCCTGGCGCTGTGCCTCCATTGATCACCGGGACTGAGGGGAACGATGAGAGTCTGCAGGACATTTTTGCCGAGCTTTGGGGCTGTCCGTATCCATGCCCAGTCAGGCCTGCCTTGCCAGCCCGGACCTCAAACCTCGTCAGGTTAAGCACGTCGTTGGTGTCACGGCAGCTCGCGGAAATCCCTTAAAGGCAACTCTTCCCGCGCGTCGTCGGACGACGCCTTTGCTCGATGCCCTGCCGGAAGCTGGGTCCAAGAGTGCTGTGCTTTGCGTTTTCTGTTTGAGGCCTTCGGCCGTTCGGGTTTTAGATAGGTTTAGGGTTTAGGGGTTTAGGGTTTAGGGGTTTAGGGTTTAGGGTTTTTAGATGGGCTTTGGAGTTCCTAAACCTGACAAACCACACACACTAATCCGTAGGACTGGATAATCTGCCCCGAACCTTGTCCGACTCATGGGTCCTAGATCAAGCTGTATAAAAGCTCGTAAGCCCATATAGAAATAGATGTGACCATATTCGTTATACATGACTTGTCCAATCATCAAGGCCCCTATATTAACTCATATAAAACCTGTATGCTCTGATAGGAGCCCTTATGATGATAGCTCTTACTTACAGGAACCCTGTTAAAGAATAAGCACCCCCCCATATTCGGCTTTTTTCGCCGTGGATTCAGGGACCCCCAGACCGAACAACCGTAAACCCTAAACCCTAAACTCCTATAGCTAAGCTTCTATAGTACCCTTAGAGGCACCCTTTAAAGGAAGTCGTGGTTTAATTCGTAAGGGCCGCCGTCTTTGTTCGACGTTTTCGCTCTGCAGAACTCAGGAACGTTTGGAGCATCTCGAGGCTCGACCACATCCGAGGACCGTTGGGTTTGGAGATTAGGGTTTAGGGGTTAGGGGTTTAGGGTTTAGGTTAGGGTTTAGGTTAGGGTTTAGGGTAGGGTTTGGAGTTTAGGGCTTTGGGTTTTGGGGTTCGGGGTTTAGGTTAGGGTTTAGGGTTGGGCTTGGAGTTTAGGGTTTATAGGCTCTAGAACCTAAGCCCTAACTCCTAAACCCCTAAACCCCGAAACCCCTAAACCCCTAAACCCTAAACCCCTTCAACCATAAATCCTAAACCCTG